CGGGGGGAGGGGAGGGAGGGAGGTGGCGATGCGGTCTCTGGCCGGGTGGAGAGGGGTTCAGGTAGAATCTATAAAAGGGGCAGAGTCTGCGCCGGTGGCCCCCATCTCGGGTTTCGCCGGCCCGGCCGGGTCCCCTCGGCTGTGTGCGGCCCCGCGCCCCGGCGCGCCCCGCGGCGGTGCGGTCGGGCCCGGTACAGCCAGCGCGGATGGGGGCCGGCCGGGTCGTGCCTGCAGCGCCCGGGAGAGGGGGGGGAGCCGGGCCGGGGCGAGACGACGGGCCCAGGGTGCCAGCGGGTCTGGCAGCGGTGCGGTGTGCCCACCAGCCCCGTCCCCCGGCCGGGGGGGGGGGGGGGGGGGGGGGGGGGGGGGGGGGGGGGGGGGGCGGGGGAGGGGGGGAGGGGGGGGGGAGGGGGGGGAGGGGGGAGGGGGAGGGAGGGGGGAAGGGGGGGGAGGGAGGGGGGAAGGAGTGGGGGGAGGGGGGGGGGGGGGGGGGGGGGGGGGGGAGGGGGGAAGAGGGCGGGAGGAGGGGGGATAAAAGGGGGGGGGGAGGGGACGCCGGCAAAGACCGAGGCCCATTTGCACGTACCAAGCGTCTGGTGGAGGATGAAGTCCGAAAGCTTCCACCGGCGGCGGTTCTCCGCCACCAGGGTGATTTCGCGGTGGCAGATGGGCACACTGGGGAAGGTGGGGACTGAGGAGGGCGTGGCAGCAGCAGCGACCGCCGCAGCAATCGGGTCTGAAGGGGAGCGAGGTGTTGTCTCGGGGTGAGTACATGGACATGCCCCCCCCCTCCCTCCCGCGCCGCGGGTGGCAAGAGAGAGGGAGGGAGGGAGAGAGAGAGAGGGGGGGGAGGGGGGAGCGGGAAGAGAAGGCGCACCGGCTCCGGAGTAATCAATGACACCAACCGAGTCGGCCTTGCGCATGCCGCCCCCCTGAGCCGGGTGATGATGATGGCCGGCCGAGGAGGCCATGTCCACCGAGTGCGTGGGGGCATGCTGCGCATGGCGGCCGGGCTGCTCGACCGGGGTTGACGCCGAGGAGGAGGATGCGCCGTGGTGGTGGTGATGGTGGTGGTGGTGGTGGGGATGGTGCGAGGTCCCGGCGGGGGCTTGGGCCGGGGCGGGGGCGGATCCGCCGGCCGAGGCGGTGCCCGGGCCCATGGCCTGGGCCGGGGTCGGGGAGCTCGGCAGCACCGGGGTCGGCGGCGAGGTCCCGGTCACAGGCGGCGAGGCGAGGGGCGATGCCGAAGGGGTGGCGATAGGGCTCGGGGCGGTGGCGGCGCCGCCAGGGGCCACGGCGCCGGTGGGAGACGTCCCGGAGGCATCGCGGTCCTTGTCCTTTTCTCGGTCGCCCTTCTTGTCCTTGTCCTTGTCCTTGTCCCTGCGCTTAAAGAAGGAGGCCATTGAAGACATGGCGGAGAGCGTGGACGACAGGGCGAAGGCAAAGAAAAGGTGGATTCGCTACACAAGTGAGCACTGAATCCAATGAAGAGACCCCAACAAAGTGCGTGTGGATGTGTGGATGCGTGTGCTGATGCGGGCGGGGGTGTCAGCAGGCGGGGCAGGTGATGGAGTGTGCCGTGGCAGGAAAGGGGGGGGGGGGCGCAAACGCACAGTGGACATGGGG